AGAGTTGCAGAATGTTCAAATGTCACTCTTCAGCAGTGCAGAACCATTAAGTGTGATGCACAGATGGCCATTCAAAGAACATCCGTTTCTGGTAAGCAGCCTGTTCTCCCACCCCAACCCACTTTCAGCATTGGATCACCAACAGTTTATTTAAAATAGTTCTATACTAGTTTTCCTCAAAAGCTCAAAGCAGTTTCCATTCATAAAAAATCCATATACAGCAAGTAAGCCAATGTCCAGCCAAAGGCTCTTCTAAAAAGTTCTGCCCTGCATTTTTTCCTTAACTGCAAGAAGCAGCCCACACATTATTTGATAGCCTATTCCAAAGGAAGCTACTACAGGAAACACTGTTGCCCTGGCTGAAGCTATCTTCACTTCTGTAAAGAGCAGAAACTGAAAGCAGGCCTCAGTGAGAAGACTGCAGAGGCTGACATTGGAAGTGGTGATCTTTCAAGTAAATGGTCCCAGGCCTTAAAAGGTCACTAACCTGAACCCAGAAACAAACCAGTAACCAGTGTAGTTGATCCAATATTGCTACAGTATGACTGACCTGAGTTACTCAGTCAACAAATGCACTGCCGTTTCATTCTGGATTGAGATCTAACCAGGCCTGTGAGGCCTCCCTCAGGGTACGCTGATACTGGCCCTGCCTCTAGAGATCCCAGTACTGATGCAGCCATACACAGCCATAAGGCAAGAGTAGTTTACTGAGCAAGCATGGCCACTAAAACCACCTGATGCTCTTAGGGACAGCATCTGCCTCCTTTTTGCTCTGCTCAAAAGGAGAATGGTTAGGAGTTGAATCAAGACCTAATAGTATGCATCCACATCCCTTCAGACTGTGCCTTTGAAACTGATGAGAGAGGGTTCAAGCAGATGAAGCTGGCAATAATAGCACTGACATGAATGAATTGCAGTGATGATAAACTTAGAACCAGGAACTAACTTGCTACTTGAGAAGACACTAGTTCTTTAGACTGAGTGGTTGTTTCTTCTTTTCTTCGGTTCCTTACAGGAATAAGGACACCAATCAAAAACAAAGCCGCAAGTATTGGCTTCATCTCTGTATTGTCTAGCTCCTTTCGTCTCTCAGTAGACACAGACCACTGTAAAGACAAAGTGAAGCATCAGAAGCACTCTCGTCAAAAGGTATTAGAACTGTCAAAGAAAGGGTCATCCCTGAGTATAGAACAGTTAGTTGGCTGTGCTGGAGAAGTCATGGTTTCTGTGACCTGCAATGCTCATTCCCAAGGAGGTGTACAGGTGAAAAGCAGATATTACTTTTATTATTACTTTATTTATAGTGGGTCTTTCTCACTCAAGACAGATTACACAGTGTAAGTCAGTGCAACAACAGAATGAGACATCAGATAAGCAATGTAATAGGACTATGATTACAGTACTCTGAAACAAAGCATTAATTATTAGACATGACAAGGGGTGGACCCGCGATGCGCACAAACCTCTCCCTCCCCCCCAGGTGCCCCCGATGTGCGGATTTAAGCATCCGCACACCAGGGGGCGACCTGAGAATTAGATATATAGATATGAGTATGCTTGGTAAATTTGCCACAGCCTTACTCTCCAAGGAACTGTCACATCAAGGACAAAGTTAGGCTAGGCATCTTCTCCCTTACACCTGGTTTGTATAAGCGGGTAATTTCTTTCATAAAGGAGCACTGAACTATGTAAGAGTCCCAATCTGCATCTCAAAGATACAGTCAAATACCTGGTTTACTATTTTATCTGCTATTTTGTAGAATGAGTTCATGAGCATTAATCCCAATTCTAAGCTTTCATTAGTCAGAACCCATTTCATCAGATGCTTGGACCATAAACATCAATTTAATTTAATTTAATTTAATTTAATTTAATTTAATTTAATTTAACTGAAGGTGCTTTCTTTTTCCTCTGAAAATATCTGTAGTGCCTTCTAAAGTTTATTCCCCTGGGCTTTTTAGACAGTTTTGTTACTCTATATTGACAAGAGGAGGACATGCAAAGGAGAGAGAATCCCATTTCCTTTCCTCGTGGTTCCTGCTTCCCATTCTCTTGTCCCAGCTCCATTTTCCCTATATTCCTGTGCACTATCTCCACTTTCTCCCCCCACCTGATCACTCACCCTCCTAATCTTTCTCCCCATCCCATTGCCCAGTCTCTCACTCAGTCTTTCCTATTTGCAGTCACTCTCCTTCCCCTCCACAGCCCTTGCATTTTCTCCCCTTCATATTTCTCTCATCCTTTCCCCAAAAGCTCAGTTATTTCCTTTGTTGGGAATCATTTTGGGTTGCCACAGTAACCCAAAATACCAGCTAAAGTTCTCTCACCAATGATTTACTATGAAAAAAACACTTCTCATATTTTTCTGCAGACATGGGGTGTTCCCCTGGGTTTGCAGAAATGTACATCTTAGCATTTTCTGTTCCCCTTGAAGATTTTATATGCTGGGGAGGCATACTTGTCTATTAAATATGGTGTAATTGTGTTTTAACTTGTGTACCACCTTGAGGACCTTGGGGAGGAAATGAAATCTAAAAACAAGCACATAAATAAATGGTTGCCATGCTCCTCCTCTGGATTTCCTCACAGATCTTTCTCACCAGCTCTTTAGGAATCCTTAGCATCCTAAGACTTGCTGAAAGATTGCTGGAGGCTCACGTGCTTTCCGAAACAGTGCTGTGAAAATATCTTATGACAAGTATGCAACCCAAAGCCATTTGGCTCTTGCAGAAAATTGCACTCCATGCATTTAGACAATCAATCTTCTCTCTGTCTTCCCCTGACAATGATGGCTTCCCACAATTTCCTTTACCTCAAATTAGAAATCTGTTGGCTTAAGGAGAAATGTGGCCATACTTTAAAGACAGAAAGAAAGCCAAACAAGACAGGGAAAATAATCTTATCTGCCTTATTAAAGAGTGCTGTGTAAACAGACATGATACTTCATACGCTTGCTGTTTCCTATGTTTCTAAGGGTCACTTTCAGCCATACAAATCTACTGGAAACTGTGTTAGAACGGTGTAATGTACTCTGCCATGACCACGTGCGCGACCGTTGGGCCATGCAGTCGGGCAGAGTCACGGAGCTTCGCTCTCTCTAGAACAATAGCCAAGCGGATCCTAGCCCGCACCTATCAGAGGGCCAAGTCCGCTGCCGAGAGCCTATGGAACTCTCGGCCACTGTATATAGCCTATAGGATAGTAGTGGGCGTGTTTTGGTGGTGGGTTTCTGTGCATATAAACCGGCCTGCGATCAGGTTTACTTTGTCGTGTGCTATCCAAATAAAGTACTTTGCTGAAATCACTCCACGCTTCTCAGTACTTTTAAAACCTCATAACAGAAAAAGGAAATTCTGATTAGTATACAGTATGCTAGGTAGATAGATCTCACAAATAAGTTGGGTATCTTCATCCAGGGGAAATAAAGTTCAAATACTACCAACCCCATCATTATTCATGCAGCAGAACAACCAACTTACAGTTGTCAGAAGCTTTTGAACGATCAGTCTGCAAAAATGAGTGATCCTGTGAATGAATCACACTCAGAAAAGATATACTGAACCTGACAGCCTACACAATTTTAAAAGATTAATATAAAGGGGGGGGGGCTGAGAGGAATCCAGAATCCTGTTTATAGATCATCTCCAAAATATTTCCACAAATAAGCAGTTTGACTTTTCACTCATACATTCTTACAAAATCACTTCCAATAATCATCAGTAAGTCGCTTCAGAACAGGTTGAAAGAAAACTCAAGACTTTTTTTAAAATTTTGATTCCAAAACTAGGCATGGGGAGCTTTAGTTATTTCCACACCTTTGAAAACTACCAGGGCTGTATTCAGAAACCACATGTAACTGCAGATGAGAAAAAAACTGCATGAGCTTGGTTTATTACTGGGTTTGTGCACATGGTCTCCCTCCTCACACTGAAAAATGTAGTTAAACATTAACTCTTATTACCCATGACATATAAATGAAGCCACACACACACACAAAAATATTGAGTTAGCCCCGCCTTCAAAGATTTTGAACTGAAGTTTAATCTAGGTTTAGAATCCTGGTTAGTAAGGCCTGAGGAAACCAATTTTAGTTCATCTGAGTTCTCACAACTGTACATCAAAGGCAACCAAACAGGTAGTATTGTGTGACCAAAAATATCAGGGTTGTGCACATTTTTCTTTAATTTGTGATGTCTGAACACAGCTCAAGGGAGATCTTTTAAAAATATTTTCCTTTTAAACATTCAATACCATATACAACCACTACATTATATTTTGATACCATCACCTGAGTCACAGTTATGTAAAAGGCCAATGTCATTTCAGGTTCTTTGGCTATTTTTTATTTCTGATAGAATAATCGGAAGACAATTATTTCCATATGAATAAGTGGGAAATCATTAGCACCCCACATATTACAAAAACCCCAGCTTTACTAGAATAACATTAAACAGCTATGTGCACAATTTAGTGTAACAGCAAAATGCACATACTGAATTCTCAAAACACACTTCTCTGCTCAATACAGTAGAAAGCATTTTAAATTAAATCTACTAAATGTTTCTTTAAAAACAAGCAGAAAGAATTTCCTCACAACTCCCATCTTTGCTTACAGATGGGCAACTTAGGGCCCATGACAAGCCACATTCAACAACACATCACCTACCAACACTCACAGCTATTCAAACCCCTACATAGGTGGCATTACAGAATCAAAACTGAAGCAGTTTTGTTTTAAAAGATACCATTTGTTGCAGCCCTCCTAGGTTACATATAAATCATTACAGTAAATTTCTATAATCCCTTTTCAATACAGAAAGACTGAGCGTATTTTCTGCATTGTTAACCCTTCTTTCCTTCTCAAAATACCCACAAGACAAATCTCATGTTACATGGTGTAGAAGTATGTAACAGTTGAAACAGACACTGATCAGTCTCAACAGGAAGACTACTGTGCCATAACAGTAACTTGAACCCGTTACTAATTATCTGCATTTCACCTGATGATGATGATGATAGCGGCCAAAGTAAGATCCAGAAGGGCAATTCCAAGAACCACAATCACCACTCCTACTCCTTCTGAATTACAGCCTCAGCACACTAGTTCCAGTCAGTACTTTGTTTTAAGAAAGCGGTCACAAAGCAAAAACTGCCCCTTTCCAGCTCAGATTTCAGCTATGCCGACTTCAGGATGATAACTCTTAAGGACGTTCCAGCCTCAAGTAATAAAGAGCTTGCCTTTACCTAGACAGCAGATAGTACAATGCTCCCTTAAGGGGAAGAGGCAAGACAGGAAAGAGAAAGAAAAACAAGGGAGGGGGCAGAAACCCCATAGCAACACACTCACTTCCACCAGACCACTTGCCAGCTCTGCTCTGCCCAGCGTCATGAGATATCAAAATCTGAGCAGACAGCTGATGAGTCATCTCTGGAAGAACTAACTTCTCAAAATATTTTCAGCAGGGGCTGCTCAGAAAGAACTTTCAGAAATGAAGCCCGCTTTTTAACAGCATGAATGACACAGGCACAGTTCAGCCTGGGAGACTAATTTGTATATTCAAGTAAGCTTTTATATACAACAGTTTAAACAGGGTAGCATTTTCTGTTTCCTGAACAATATAATTGGATTATCATTTTAGAGCAACCAAAGAAAACTATGGCACATGACAGAATGTTTTCCAGGCCATTTCGATGAAGTACTTGTAGCCTGGCCACGACACATTACTGGCACACACTGCATCCCCTCTTTAACAACACAAACTGTATTCTACTCCAGAAAGACAGTATCAAGAAGGTAGAAATTTAAAAGATCTAAATTCTAATACCTTTAGATACCCAGTCTCCAGAGATTCGCCTAGATTGATAACTTTGTTGGCTCTTGCAAATCCTAAATCCAATCTCTCCACCTGTATGCCCAGTCAGCCTCAGCAGTTCCCCACTGCCTGCTCTCTTTCAGTCACTTAGAGATTCAAACCCAGGCACATCTCCAACTGCAGACATGACGTTATCCAGGGCCCCTTTTATAAGCCCTTGCAGGAGGGGAGGGAGAGCTCCCTCCTTCTTCCTTAGAGTTCCCCTTCCCATTGCTTCCATGCTCAGCTAGACTGCAGCAATCCTTGCTTCAGAACAAAGGAAAACATTTCCACTTTCCAGAAATCTACCTTGCACGCTCCTCCTCAACTTAAACCCAATACATATATTTAAACCAACAGCTCACAAGTCTCCCCATCCCTCACCCGCAGAAACAGATTTGGCAGTATCTGTTTGCTGATATAAGATCTAGTTCTCCTAAGAAACCTGGTCTGATATAGGGATGTAGGATTTTTATTTCACTACAGATGCTAATTTTCTGCTCCCAGCATTTCCCCTCTGCTCTAGTCAAGCTGATTGTACCTTTGCATCCTTTACAAGCATCTCTCCCACCTTCTGACTGGAATAAAAGGACTCAGGGATTTCCATGTCTATTCATGTTGTACGAAGAAAGCTTTGACTCTCAAAAGCTCATATCCTGAAACTCTTGTTAGTCTCTAAGGTGCTACTGGAATTTATTTATTTATTTTTATTTATCTTTGGATTTATATCCCGCCCTACCCCGAAGGCTCAGGGCGACTTCTAAGTGATACGATTCCTGACAGTTCATGAAAAGGGTTCCAGCTTGTAAAAGCTTCTACTACAATAAATTTGTTCATCTTGTAATAACACAATTTTTTTGCTGTAAAAACCTAAGGAAGAAAATTTGAGGTGGAAGTGAGGTGGAAGAATGGACTACATAAGAACATAAGAGACGCCAATGTTGGATCAGGCCAAAGGCCCATCCAGTTCAACACTCTGTATCACACAGTGGCCAGAAATACCAGTGCCATCATGAGGTCCACCAGTGGGGCAAGGACATTAGAAGCCCTCCCACTGCTGACCCCCCCCAAGCACCAAGAAGACAGAGCATCACTTGCCCCAGAGCCCCTATCTATACCTTGTGGCTAATAGCCACTGGTGGACCTCTGCTCCATATGCTTATCTAATTCCCTTTTGAAGCCGTCCATGCTCGTAGCCGCCACCACTTCCTGTGGCAGTGAATTCCATGTGTTAATCACTCTTTGGGTGAAGAAGTACTTCCTTTTGTCCGTTCTAACCACTTCAGAAAGCAGATAATGAATTACAACTTTGAATGGCCCTTTCAATTAAAAACTGCATGCAAAATGAAACTAGCATAGTTCCCCTTTGCGTGCTGTGCTGGTTTTTATAATTGCAAGAAGTTTCGGAAAGAGTATTTAACAAAACTGAACATTCTAAAATGTGATCTTCCTCAGTCCTCCATGTCAGATCTTTGCCACTTCACTCCCCTTTATATATGAACCGTTAACAGACTAACAGTTACTCCTCTAGAATGTGATCCCTGATGAGATCTGTGCTCCACGGACAAGACCACACTTCACACTCCTTTGTTATGCTAATATTAAGAGTAAGAAGAGGGCACTTGCTGCAACAACCCAAGGTGTGCCTGAGAAGGTCTGGGGTTGTTCTTCCCTCACAGTATTCCTGATGTTGTACAAACGCCATTCATTCCAAAGGAGATTTGACTAACGAGGTTTATTACTATGGTAGCTGCTTTGGGTGTTTTTATACTATTTTATGCAAGCCACCTATGAAATTATTTTGGATAAATAAAATACTAGGCGAACTTTTAAAGTATTGTAACACATAATTACAGTATTTAGTGCTTCTAGTTCTCATTATTGTGCAAATAGCAGATCTGAAAAGCAGATACCATCATACAAATGACAAGTCCTTCCCAATGCCTTCTTGCCCTGGAGTAGCTGACGCTGTATTGTAAATCTTTGTTGCTCTTCTTCCAAAGAAGAGACTTACATCCCATCCTGCCAAGTAACTGTTTGTTCAAAATATGACTCAGAAGGTACAGAGTCAAAGACACGTGGCTCATGTAGCATAACTGCAGCCAGCGTTTAAAGCAAGTCTGTCCATCTGTACATTTCAGGCTATTTCCTGAATGTTTCTAATTTCTTTTCTGTAGCCTGTTTCTACCAGTCAAAACCAAATTCTGTACAGTGTCTAGCTGTTATATTAACATTTTTATAAAATCCAACAGTCTCAAGCTTGTGTCGTTAGCCTACAATATTATAAAAACTGAAGTATTTGCTCGGGGAAAAAAATTAAAACTGCCAGCATTAGGGAGGCATGGCACTTAGAATATTCTTTAATGAAACCCCTTCAGCACAGAGCACATCTCCTTATGTATCAAATGAATAAATACTTCATCCATTGTAACTACACTGCAGAGGCAGCTGAGGAACCAGATCAGCATGGCTTAATTCAAGACAGAGGCACGCCAACTTGGCTGAAATATCAGATTTCGTCTTGCACAGGCAATATGCTAGGATTGTGGAGTTACCCTCTGGTGTTTTCCATTGATTTATTTTTTTTGCCTGTCATGTCCTGTGAGTTAGGATCTCCCATCAAGAAGTTATTATAGTATCACTGTACTGGACACTGTGCCCCCTTTGCAGAGAAAGCTGTTTCATCAGACTGGATTATTCATCAACATTATGCTACTATCCTCAGCTGATGATTGATCAGCCAATCAAGTCTATGAAGATGAAGCTGCCATGGACTTCATATTTCTCAGAGATCTGCCAGGTGCCCAAATACAGTCTGGGACATTATGAATACCACTATCAATGTGGTGAGCTATGCTAAACTGGAACGACACGTTGAACACCACATGTTCAGTATTAGATGTCACTTTGAACTGGTCCTTCTCCAAAGTTCACTGAGTTCTCTTGGATATGTGTTGTATCTTCACCTGACTTCTAGGCTATTCTTGTCAGCCACTCTGAACTCTACTACACAATATTATTTTCAGTCTACATGTATATGAAAACATAACAGGAGAAAAAAATCCAGAGAAGAGCAGTGAACTACTAATCTGATTGGTTTTGATTTAACCTATACAGCCAAAGCTAAAATTCTTAATTATGTCTCCTCACAAGGCGGAAGGGAAACTGTAGTCACCAGTCTGATATGAATTATAAGTAATGCAACTGATGCTTTGGACAGCAAAATAAACTCTGTGGTACGCTGTCTCAAACTTTGACAGCTGCTAATATCTCTCCCTTCCCCATCCCATGCAACTTGTGTTATCTGTGTTTTGGTTATAACCAGCAGCATCTTTCATACAGAGGGCACAGGGAAAGCAAGCACTATGCAGAAAGGAAGACCACAAAATGTATATGCACAGGTAAGCTTCCAGCATGCTTTGGTAAAGGTAACAAAGAGCATAGATTCATTCTGGATAAACTACTGGAAATCTGCTCCAGTCATTGCTACTGCTGCCAGCCATCCACAACCTCTTTTGTCTTGCTGGATTACAGTATGGCAATGAGGCACAGCACACATAGAATCTGCAGAGAGATTTCCACCGCAACCCCCAAAAGAGGATGGGTGAATATAATCTTGACACCAAAAATCCCTGTCACCAAGGGGGTAAAAACAAGGCTGTGTCTTGGCCCCCACCCTGTTCAACTTGTTTCTTTCTGGCCTTCCCCCCTATTTATGCAAAATTGAGGGTCATCATGGCCACAAATTACACTTGAAATCCGTACCTATTCTCCTGTATTGCTGCTGTTTTATCTCTTACTAAAGTGGGATTAATGCGTTTTTATCAGCTTTCATCTCATATTGCACCCAGAATTCCCTATTCATCAATTATGACAAAATGACCATTGGATACTCACTGTGAAGGGTCCTTCTCCTCTGAGGTCTGGAGGACATCTTGCGGGTGATTCCCATCCATCATCAGGGAGGCAGGACTAAGTTCAACTTCTTCCTGTTTCTTTTGGTGGGAGTCACCCTTGGCTCAGTTCAGGTGCTCCGAAAGGCAATGCATTAAGGCAACTACATTATAGAAAAGACTCAATCAACAGTATAACATTAATAAAAGCAGGAAGAACAGGAAGAAAAAAACAAAAAGGAAAGGCAAGGAATCCCCTTTCTGTGGGGTACATTGACATGCCATTTCCATAAAACTCTCTGATTGCAGTATTCCCTCTCTTGTCTCCATCTCTCTCTCACTCTC